TCAAGGAGGAAATGGGTGATATGGAAGATTCGATCAAAATTGACGATGATGACCTCCTCAGTACTACAGGCAACAGTGTAGCGGATATGGCTGTGAGTTACGGTTATAAAGCAAACTTCTTGTACTCTTGAACTTTATAAAGGTTTTTGAATTCAGGAATTATCTTCCATTGAGCAGCAAATGGAGGAGTTTGAAGAAGAGCAAAGGAAAATAAAGCAAATGCAAAGCGATATCGAGGTAATTTGAGACACTTTTCATTTGTTGTATGCAGTGCAGTTCTAAGTTCGAGGTATTGAGCAAATATTTTTAGGGCCAGATGAATCTCCCCAGGAGTAGCAATGGTACCAGTAGCCCTGCAGTTTTGACCCCTGAAGAAAAAGCTGAGGCAGATTCTCGCTCCGTGTACATTGGGAACGTTAGTAGTTTTTGAGGATATTAAATTTTAAACTATTTTTTAGAAATCTGTCCTTCTAAATCGTTTTCAGATTTATTTTCAACACATTTGTCATGATCTCATCAAAATGTATATTCCAGGTTGACTACAGTGTAACTGCTGAAGAACTCGAGAAACACTTTCATGGGTGCGGTTCAGTAGCACGTGTAACTATTCTGTGTGATAAATATACTGGTCATCCAAAAGGGTCTGTTTTTTCACCTTCCTGTACAACATAGATTTTTCCTATTTCCAATATTACTTGTTCGTAAGCTTGGAAGTACTCTTTACCTCAAGTACCACCTATCTATACTCAATGAGTAATTTCACGTTCTTAAAAAAATGTGGTGAGGCATTCACAACGTTTTCAATTTCACATAACGTTACTGTTAATGCACAATCATCTATTATTCGTGCACTTTTAAGCACCTCGGGTTCTAGTATGCACACATTTTGGTTTTTTATTGAACAAGGGACAGGGTAAAATGTACCCTCAGTTGGGTCTCCTTCATGCCTTAACAAAGGCTTTACTGTTGTCCTCAACTCAATTCCTGCTTTGAATGTAAACGCAAACAGCCATTAGTGCTGATAAGGGATTTTGCAGGGGTAATGTTGTAATAAGCTCATTTTCTAGTAGGGTCTAAGTTTTTTGTACCGCTTTACTTTCTTAGTACTTGTATTCTTCATATGAACTATGAAATCAGCCATGATTTTTTTGTGATGAAAAAGTCATTTGAAACCCTTTAAACGTTGCAAGGGAAGAATATGTAGCATTCAAACTCACTTGTTGTATATCCGTCCTCTGCTTGGAAGGTGCCTCATATCAAACACGAATATTCTTCGCATAATCAGCAGAGCTAAGCTGCCAATTGAGATGCAGTCGAATAATAAGAAACAGCTTTAGAAACTTATATTGTGCTTTTGACCTAAATTTTGCAATATTGACTTTGAAATTTCTTTGTTATATGTTCAGATTTGCGTATGCAGAATTCGCTGATAAAGAAGGAATGCAAATGGCTTTAGCAATGTCGGACAGCCTACTCAAAGGGCGGCAGATTAAGGTATCTATTGCTATGTTTCAAGGGCTATTTGAAGTATGCGAAAACAATGCTGTCTTCAGGTGATGGAAAAGCGCACAAACCGCCCTGGTATTTCGACCACGAATCGTCCACCGCGCGGACGCGGTTATCGTGGGCGAGGTGGTTTTGGAGGAGCTCCTCCTGGCTACATCATTAAGTACGTCCCAGTGGGTGGATATCGCCCGCGTGGGGCGCGTGGTCTCCGGTATGTACCTTACTCGCTTGATTCATTCTTATTTAAGTTTAAATGCGATTCTTTTCTTTGGATTTTTCTACTATATCTCTATTTTTTAATCAAAACCTCCAACTTTCAGACGTCCACGTGGATTCCTTCCTTACACGTGAGTGGACTATGCCAGGCCCCGTTTCACGTTCTTTGTGTTACACTTTGCATGCAATATGGCAATATATTTGCTGTTTTGTATGAATTGTCAATGTTGACATGCTGTAATTTATTGGTCGTTCATATTCTTTTTTTTACTTCATGTGCGCAAAGCTGTAAAGCAAAGGCCGTTTAGTTAGTGCTGACATGATGCTTATGATATATTTTTTGTTTTGTTCTGTAATACGCTTCCAAACGCTCTAACTAACACCGTATTCGTCGTTTACTAGGTTCCAGTTTTGATTTTGCAGGCCGGAGTATGATGTGACCTCACCAGAGGCGCGGGCAGACTCTATGTAGGCCCCCTCCAAAAAGTTATCTGTTTTGTTACAATCGTTGTACAACTTGGCGTTAAGCAATTGTGATTATATCCTATTGAACAGAAGTCGAGTTGCTTGTTATAAGGTTGACGAGTGCTGCTAATGGTTTATGTTTGTATTTGTTGGTTGTTTTTTGATATTGATTTTGTGAACATTAGGATGACTATCATCTATGGAGGGGGTCACGGAACTGTCAGCGCCGTGTGATCGTCGTGGTTGCGTGTATGCATGCACATGCTGTACGGCTTTTGGCACGTTTCTTTGGTGTATTTGGTTTTCGACTGCTCTTATCCTGTTTTTGCGTAGTTGGAGTATTTACATGCATCTTTTTTCTTTGAAATGAAATACGTGCATATACTGATCTTGTTGTCTCGTTAATAGAAAATAAATTGTCGGAAAGATTATCTAGAATAGTTTATTGGTCAAATAGGTGTAGAGCAGATTTGGTAGCCTACCCTTGCCAATCATACATAGTGGCTTACCTCAGAGAAAACGTGAAGCCTGAAGCTCATGCCAATGTGCTGATATTAAGGAATGGAAAGTAACCATCAGTATGCTGATAGAAAGTACTGGGACGAGCGGTTTGCCGAAGAGAAGCACTTTGAATGGTTGGCAGATTTTGATGCCTTTAAACATCTAATAATACCAAAATTATCTACGGAGTCTAGGTATTGTTTGAATTGATATTTTATTAATGCTCCAATTACGTTTATTGTCTGAATGATCTTATTGTAAGTATAACACAGAGGAGCTGTTGAAGTAGGTTTAGTGAAGGAAAGTGGTTTGCTGCACTTTTTAAATATCTGAAAGCGCTCTCGGTGTTCATAGGTGTCTCTTCCATTACCTAGAGATTGTCTTTGACCTATGATTGTGAAGCAAATCTCAAAAGGCAGTCCTCATTACAAAAGGCTGAAATCCAAAAATGATATTACACTTTGCTTCAAGTTTTATTGTTGTAAAACTTTATTGATTGTTGTTAGCCAAAATGATCCCACCTATGTTGGGATGGCATATTATCCACCGGTGTCAGTCGGAAACAAAGTCGAAATTCCAGTTCATGCTCAAACTCCTTCCGTAATGATAGTCGTAGATGATTACTGAAATAAAGTAAAGTTACAGAATGGTGCGTAGGCAACTTTCCAAGGGAGATGGAAAGTAATTTTATTAACCTTGGAAGGTGGAGTCCAAACGCCATCTCCCCCCAACCGTAGCAACTGTGGGCCAGGCCATAACTAAAGAGATCAAGGGTGTAGATACTGGCCTGCGATCAAAAATTTGTTTCAACTGGTTACAAGTATGAATTTATAATGCTTACGCATGACAGTATATAGAACTGACAAGTTTCATAGCATTGGACGCACTGCAGAACCATGAATGGTCTCAAGAACCACGGTGCTTTTGCTCTTTTCAAAGCTGCGCTGCAAATTTTTTCTTCAGAATATTACATATCGGATGTGGTACAAGTCAGTTGTCGATGCAGTTGTTTGAAATGGGTTTTACGAATATTACGAATGTAGATTTTTCTCAGGTAAATCGTTTTCAAAAGACCTACCTGCTAGATTCCCTTTCCTGAACTTGCTTGGCTAATGTAAACCTTTTTTTGTCTTCAGGCATAGTTACCTCCCAATGCAATGACGAACAGGTACAATTTGATATTGCAGGTGTTAGTAGATACTGGTCGTGTTGCTCATCCGGAAATGGAGTGGATTTGTGACGATATTCGGTCGTTAGGCAAGATCCCTTCGTCCTCCTTTGATGTCGTTCTGGAGAAAGCCACTCTGGAAGCACTGCTTGTCAAGGAAAAGGTATCCTGATGTTGACCACAATTCGAAATGATCTTGACTTGCTTTTGACGTTATGTCCATCTTGTTTGAAGAGTTCATGGAGTCCTTCGGATGATGCTCTGAAGACTGTCGATGATGTGTTGGAATCTGTGGCTAGAGTTCTAAAAAAAGATGGTCAGTTTACCTACACATTTCCTTTTGCTTTGTTAAACTGCTAGTTACATCTGTCATTGCCCAAGAGATTAGACAGTACGGTCCTTCTCTAAGAGATCGTAATTAGGGCGATCTAGCATTTTTGTAGTGTTGCCTGCGCTCTCCTGAACAGATGCAGTCTCTCTCTCTGACTATAACTACGTTTCTTACCAGAACTATACCTGTATTCAAACTTTGTGTAGCACATTGCCGACGTCCGACATCATTTAGCCACGCCCAGCCTGCGCTGTATTCACACCCCCCGTGGTGGGGGCGTGGCTAAGAGACGCAGGTCGTCGACGCTGGGCTGACGCGGAGTATGATTGCAGCTGGACTGGGTGTTTTTGGCGACAAAGTGTTCCTCATTTTCATGCTCTCTTTTCAGGTGTTTTTATCTCCATATCATTTACACAGCCTCACTTTCGCGTGCCTGCCCTTCTTCGATATCCCGGCTGGTCTATATCGGTCAACGAATTCGGCGACTTCTTTCACTACTTCGTCTTCACCATGAAGTGCGGCGAAGAAGCTTCTCAGGAAATATATGATCGCTTTGCTCGGATCGCTCCGGAATGGAGTAGACCGCTAACAGTCACTGAATGACAATTCACTTATTTAACGCCAACGAGACTGCCTCGGTTGTCACTTCTGGGAATAAATGTGATATATTTTGTTGAAAAGCTAGTGTACGATGGTGAAAACAAGACAAAACTTACGAAACTGGAGAGGAAAAGAGAAAAGGTGAAATTGCTCCCTCTGAAGCTAATCGCTGAATTGGTAAATGAGCTTCACTGGGTTTCTAAGGACTATCCTTTCCCGCTGTCTCGGTATTAGCTCTATCGACGCTGTGAAAAGGACGTAAGGCCCTGAACATCCCTATATCCTCAGGATGGAATCTGGTGTTCCGATCGTGTCCCGTCAATGAGCGAAGATCAGGGATACATGTTCCTAAGTCCATGTGACGGTATCTCTGTGTTGGTTTAATGGTTTAATGAAGACTTTCACTGGAACTCGGACACGATATCCGATATGATCCTGGGACTTCCTTTGGAATGAGGACACCGTATCCAATATGATCCAGGGACTTCAGNCTGAAGCTAATCGCTGAATTGGTAAATGAGCTTCACTGGGTTTCTAAGGACTATCCTTTCCCGCTGTCTCGGTATTAGCTCTATCGACGCTGTGAAAAGGACGTAAGGCCCTGAATATCCCTATATCCGCAGAATGGAATCTGGTGTTCCGATCGAGTCCCGTCAATGAGCGAAGATCATGGATGCATGTTCCTAAGTCCATGTGACGGTATCTCTGTGTTGGTTTAATGGTTTAATGAAGACTTTCACTGGAACTCGGACACGATATCCGATATGATCCTGAGACTTCCTTTGGAATGAGGACACCATATCCAATATGATCCAGGGACTTCCAGTGCAACGAGAACACCTTAGCAAAATGGTCATAGGAGTTCCGATGCAGAGAGGACACTTTGACTAGCCAGTGTACCTAGCTGCCTATGTAACACCTCTGTCCTCCGTTTGCTGCTCCTATTTCAACTATCAGCATTTATAGTCCCTACCACTTTGATTCCATGCTCTTATCTCTTACATCGTATTATCCTATCTCTTACAGCATCACATGGTTCTCTGTTTGAACACTAAACCCCGGTACTCAATTTTTGTGTTGAATGTTTTTTCTCTATCATGGCTTACTCATGTAGTCTACAAACAGAGTCTACACTAAAAATACAAAAAAAATCTCGTCATTGGCTATGTCGCTCATCCAATAGGTCTATGGCCCTCAGGCAAATGGGCGTGACGTGTTTTTCATAGCGAAAGTAGCATATTAAAAAAAACTGCTACATAATTATGTTTGCCCTTTGTCTAGCTCCCATTTGCCAGCCAAAGTAGCAAACAGGCTCTCATTGAGGGTACTGTAATTTGCGACAACATGGCTTAGATTTGATAAGACTACTACGTTAGATCCACATAGGTGTCTTTCAGAAACGGATAATTGTTAGAGAATTGAACAGTTCTATTGAGCGATATTTCAGTGATATAAGCAAGCCTTTGTGATATGAATATTGTCTGATTTTCATGAATTGCTAAGAACGAAAATTTATGGACCTAAACAGTTCTGTATACTCACGATTCCAAGAAAATAAGGAAAAATCAGGTCGGGGAAATATCCAGTCAGTTATAAAGGTACCTGGAACTCTAAGTTTTGTTTTGCCTGACATGCAGATCACTGTTCAAATGTGAATTTTCTCTTTATCCTCAATTTTTCCTTTTTCCTCTATCTTCCTGAAGCTGTCCAAGAGTTGGAATGGAGGCTTTCGAACTATACCAGGGCTCTGAGTATAACATCATCACTATTCATTTGAATTTTGAATCCCCTAAATCTCAACATACACCTCCCCAATGGATATGGAGCGTAGAGGGGAGTAGCTACCCCTGCAAGTTTGTATCTTGACAAAATTCGAGACGCAAAGACATCCTACCTTACCTCAGAGTCAGTCTACGTGATACCAGAAAGGTAATGAGTGTAGAAAGCATTGATTTTAACAATAGTGTAGCCGTACAGGTCAAAGAAGCTTTTAAAGAGGACATCAATTTTCAAGTCTTTCTAAGGCAGGATTCGTTCAAAATAGAGCATTTCCAGGAGTCGATCAATACCCCCATGCATTGTATACGATTTTTAATTCTTGCTCAGAATTTTGTATATAAAAGTGTTCACAATGCAATGGCTTCTGTTCGATTAACAAAGACTCTACACCTGATTACACAGTAGATTTCACCAGTTCTTTCTTCTGAAAATGCGCTATTCAGATGTTTTTTTCGTGAGCATATAAACCATAGGCAAGTCTGTGTCGGAACAATCTCGTCCGAAATGTTGTCGAGGATACGCTTGCGAGTTCTTATTCTACTGGTGGTAAGCCTTTACTTTAGAAATTCCTATGCTGAGCCCGTTTTCTATGAGCCTGTAATCCACATTTGAAGGTTCACATAACGACATCAACAGCAGAAGTCGCATCGTCGACGTCCGAAGTTCCCACGATGACCTCCGAAGTTACGACTTCCATAGTTAAAGGAGTGCCCGAAGCCGTTTTCCAGACCACGACAACCACGACGACTTCAGAAGTTACTTCATCCATAGCTGAAGGAGTGCCCGAAGCTGTTCTACAGACCACTACAACCCCGACGACGTCAGAAGTTACTACATCCATAGTTAAAGGAGTGCCCGAAGCCGTTTTCCAGACCACTACAACCACAACGACGTCTGAAGCTACTCCATCCACAGCTACAGGAGTGCCCGAAGCTGTTCTACAGACCACTACAACCACGACTATGTCCAGTCCACCAACGACCACAACTACCACCACGTCCAGTACAACGACGACCGCAACAACGACTACGTCGAAGCCAACAACCACCACAACCACCCCTGCTGCTGACCCTGGTTGGTTTTCGCAATCACATAGCTCTTAATCTTTCAAGATGTACTCTACACGAAAAAATCAATAGTTAACGGGACAGGGCCTAGGAAACTGTAAGTCGGATGTGTCGTTTGGTTCACAAGCACCATGAAAAAGAGGTGATCGTTTTCCAAGTCAGTTTGGAGGATATGCGAGAATAAGAAAAAGAAATTGAGATAGCACGACTTTTCGTTGCTTGATATCGTTCTAAAAGTGTCTTTTCTATTCCCCAGTTAGCGCTAAGAGTCAAAAGGGATATAGTTCCAAGAAGAGCTTCTGATTCCTACTCTGAAAACCGCTGTCGTTCTGGTTCTCATCAGGTTTCATGAAATTGAAAAGTTCTTTTTTCTTCTGATTATTCCTTCTTTCAGAAAACAGAATCTGTCCATCAAACACCGGTATGAAGGACAAAGCGAGAGTCAAAGCACTCGATACACACAATTACCGTAGGTACGTTTCGGAAAGTTTATTTAGAGTTTACTTATTCATTTATTTAGAGGGTCGTAAGAATTTCGGTGATTTTTTTTTCAAATTTCAAAAAAGATGAGCAAAAGTTATATTGATAGAGTGTTTTTCAGAAGTCGCCTTGCACAAGGAATGGTCATAAACAAAAATGGGAAATACTTACCAACAGCCAAAAACATGAACAAATTGGTAATTAAGATCAGAAATCTAGAGTTCAAGATTTAGCAGCATTTTGGGGAGATTTTTAGTAACTTTCTGAGTGGGTAAGTTAATCATAGCTTTTCTAAATTCACAGGAAGAATCAAAAGGCTTTATCGAAAGGAAAGACTGAATGCTGCTAAAACGGGACTGGACCTTCTGCCTGGATTTTCTTATGTTCCATGCTCTATTGCTCTATATATAGGACTTCTTTTTTGATTTTTTTTCTGAAAGAGGTGGACAGAACCCTCTTAGGCATTTCCGCTGTCTTACTTTCAATTTCAGTATCCTTTCCCAGGTGTACAACTGCGCTCTAGAAAAGTCTGCTATGGAATCTGCGAAAAAATGCTATTCGATGCAAAATTCGAATCTTCCTCCTGGTGTTAAAGAAAACCACCATATGTTTGCAATGTCCAAAGCCGATTACGATGTGGATGCAATGAGAATTGTGAGTCAGATATATTCATTCATAGATAGTAGGTGGGACGTTTGAGATCATTGCACGCTCATGATTGGTCCGTTGCCTGAGAGGAACCCGTCGATGTGCAATGGCCTCGATGCACCGCCCACTGTTTTTAAAAAGTTTTTGTAAGTGGAAACAGATACCTATCTAGGCAGTGAAATTTTGGTGGAGGCAGATTCGAGAGGCTGGCGGTGTTGGCCAAGGTGTTACCTACACATCGTATAACCAGGGAAAACCGATCAGCTATTTCACCAAGGTTCATTTCTATCAGACTTTTCTTTAAAAATGTCCAGTACCTCTTCGCGTCGGAGAAGAACTTTATTTACTCGAGTCTTTTGCTATTTCTTGGAAAAACTAATATTTGCAGATGGCATGGGCTACCACCGAGAAATTGGGTTGTGCAGTAGTGCCATGCGGATCCGACTGGTCTGTTGTGTGTCATTATAGCCCTGGGTTCGTTTATCAGCCGTTTTTATGCATTATTTTACTATAAGAATAATTGGAATCTGTTAAATGTTTTTACCCGAGAATCCATAGGCCCTATATCAATTAAATGGTCTGTAAGCCATAGGTTTGGCTTCCTCAGTCCTGCAACTGGTTCCCATACCTCACACTACAGCTTTATCAAGCA